TCCCCCTCCTCACACTCTATCGTGCCTAACCCTAACCACTTCACCGTCATCCCTTCTGTACTGTTCTCTCTCAGGAACATATCAATGGATCTGACAGTACACAGCCAGTGACTTTTAGAGATTAACTTTTTTCTTTTCCTTTTTTTTTTTGGTGAGTCAAACATTGTATTTGCAAACCTGCCTACAGAATTGAGTGGAAGTAATCCTGCCTTGTTTTAGAGAAAGTTTGCCCTGCCTTCTGCTAGACAACTGGTCTGCTGCTACTCTGGAATCATTTTGCTTAAATTTGGGGGAGTGAGGCATTTAAAAATGGAGGTGAAGGGGAGACAATGTCAAGGAGTCCATGTAGAAAAAGAATGTTTGGAAACTGCTTGTGGTAGCAATTATACAATTCTACTTGGCATTGTTGAACTATAGGATGATATGCTATGGATATTAAAAATCATCATTATAATTCTGTAATGAAGGCACACTCTTTTAATGAAGGTGCACTCTTTTAAGAGCTTGCCTACCTTCTGGAGCTTGCCTACCTTTTAATGAAGGTTGCACCACTGAGATGCAACCTTCCAGGCCTGCAACCCAAAGTTTAGAGGATGAAGTGTATTCCCTCTGGCTTCTTCCCTTGGTGGACCAAGAACCCCAATGCCTGCATTCCATACCCTCGGCTTCTGAATTCACCAAACAAATCCAACCCACTGCCATTGAATGAATTCAGATTCAGTAACCCTAAATAGAGTCTCTGAGAAGTTATAAGTGTTTACAGAGGCAAGCAGACTCATTTTTCATCCCAAGAAGCATCTGGGGGCATTGAACCGCCAACCTTGTGGTTAGCAGACCAGTGTTTAACCCAGCAGACCACCACGGATCCTCTGCACTCATGAAATCTCTCCAAATCAAAAGCATCTTTAAGCTCTTGGGTCTTTCTCCCTCACTGGATCCTACTCCTTTAGGTTTTCACTTTCTTTTTAACTTTGCATGTCTTCAAATGAGTTTGTTTTTTGTTTTAATATACCTTGCCCAACTTTTAAAGTTCTTCTTAGTAATGACTTGGTCTGAATTACCTTGTGTCTACTATTCCTAGCAATAAATGTTTTCCGTAGTCATATTGGCTTTGGTCCATAAAATGTTGAAAAGATTTTCAGCTTTCACATAACAGTGAAGATCTTGAACTTTTATTGCGATCTGAATTTGCTTAAGACAACGTTGCCCTGAAGCTTTTAGCACATACAGCTCCGTTCAGATAAAGCATGTGCTCACAATTTGACTACAGTTACCCCCAACCACTAGAGCTGCGTTCAGTCCCTGTGGGAACCTACTTAAATAGCATGCTTGCCTGGCCAAAGGGAGTATTTGTATTAAAAAGAAAGCCATTTAACATGTATATGACCCTTTCTGTTCCTGGAAAAGAATTCCATTAATAAACAGGACTTTCATGATTCCAAATTCTGATCATTTTAATTCTTTTCTCTCATCGCTTAAAAGCACCATCTTGAGGTACAAAATGAATCACATCCCTTCTAAAATTTCCATTTAATGACTACTAAGTCCATATCCACCTGAGTCCAAGAGTCTGACTTACCTCCCTGGGACTCTGAGTCTACTAAGGGCATTTCTTTACAGTCAGTCCCGATCACTGTTGCTGAGAGCACATTGGGAAATCATTATGAGAAGGGACTGGTTGTTCAACATCCCTGCACTACCTTTTATTCACATGGTAAATTTTCTTCTGAGAATCCATTTTTCCACTGGTTAACAGCATAATAATGATTGATGCTCCCTTTCTCACAGAGTATAAGTAAACCAAAAATGTGAGGCATATTAAAATGCATGTAAGATCAAAATAATTCTTTAGATTTGTCATCCATCATTTTAATGTTTTGGGGTTTTTTTTCCAGAGAATGTTTACACCTCATTCTGCCTAGACAACTGGTACCTTGGCACTCTGAAATCACTTTAAATATTAGGAATTGAGATTGTCTTTTAAAGAATATTGTTTTCTAAATATATATTGAGGGAACACTCTTGTCCCTGTATTGCACTGTTTCTTGCCCAGGAGTAACTTCAAGGCAGCAAGGAGAATGTGTGGGTGCTCAAGGAACATAAACTTTAACCACAAAGAGAGATGACAGGAAAAACAAAATATACATGAAATGCTTTGATGTATGTAATATGACAGTGTAAAGGCACATAGTATGCCACTTGAAAGTCATTTAGAACAGTAAAAATAAGTTGTGGGAGATGGATAAGAAAAGGGTCTTTAAAAACATCCGTGGGTAAGATTTCTAGGAAAGCTGTAGAACAGTAGTTCTCAACCTTCCTAATGCTGTGACTGTTTAGTACAGTTTCTCATATCGTGGTGAGCCCCCAACCATAAAATTATTTTCATTGCTACTTAATAACTGTAATTTTGCTACTGTTATGAACCGGGCAACCCCTGTGAATGAATTGTTTGACCCCCAAAGGGGTCGCGACCTATAGGTTGCGAACCGCTGCTTTAGAACTTGGAGTTACAGGGGAGAGGAACAATTTTTCTGCATATGGGATTTTTTCCCAGAGCTTTCCTTTCCAAGTGTTCAGACGGTCCCCATTTTTGCTTTCTCTGCAGAACTGTGAAGAGAATTTTATAGTATGTTGACACACAGTTAATACTTTTTAAATAGTCAAGAATATGTTGACAGTCAAGGGTACTATGTATAGAGATAGAAAATGGAGAGAGAATAACACAGAGAGATAATCATCTTAAGTCTCAGTTCATGTACTTGCTGCAGAAATTACTGCAGGCGATAATAAAACAGTCAACACATAGATGCTGACCTTAAGGAGTTTACAATTGTCATTGAGCACCAGGGTGATGAGTTAAACAGCATGCGGTAGTTACATAGCAATGTAAGGTCACAGGCAAGGAATGCTAAATATCAAAACATCAGCTCTGCCAAATCTAAGCAGATTCATCAGATAGAAAAAATCCTCTTCAGAATCTTGTGTGGAAGGAAAGGACTGAAGGTGAGATGTAGCTAGAATCATTTCAGAATCATTCAGATCATAGAGACCATTGAATCCAACCAGATGAATCCCTTCACTAACATCCCTAAGAAAGGCCTCTCCCATTTCCATCCTTTCCACTGATAGATATTGTATTCACATCCATGAAACATCTTTCAACAAATGGGCCTAAGTGGCTACAAGAAAATCATGGTTGGAGAAGGGATTTAAAGGGATTGGACTGCTTAAAATTTTTGGAACGATGGGCTCCCTCCAATACAAAGAAAACCGACAAAACTGTTGTTACACGATAACTGATCCTAGAAACAAGCAACCACAGCATTTACGTGAGCTGCCCACACGTCACAAAAGACTTTAAGGATTATCACTCTTCTTCTCCGCCGGAGATGCTGAAGTCTGAAGATGATCCTCAAATACATCGTCTGGGCCTTCTGTTGTTGGCTGCTGCAGTCCATTTTGGACAGGAATATATATGTATTATATTATGTCATATTATATATATATATATATAGAAATATACATTATATTTGTATATATTCCCCCAAAGAAAGTAATCAGTAAATCATACAATGACACAATCATTTATAGAGGCTGGCAAGTCCCAGATCCATAGGTCAGCCAAGAGATTTGATATATCTGATGGCGCCCATGGTTGCAGGGGTGATAAACTCAAGATCGGGACGTTGGAGGGCAAACTGAAGGGCCCTCCAGTCACAGGGTTGCCAGATTTGGTAAATCCAAAATCGGCAGGCTATGCCACAGGCCAGAAACTTCTGCATTCTTGCATCCCAAGAACTGGAGGTTAGGAGCTGAGAAGAGGGCATTTCTTGTATCCCGAGGTTAAGAGATGAGAAGAGGGCAGGTAGAGCAAAGAGAGGGCTTTGGCAACCCACCCACTTACATACTGGAAGCAGGCCACACTCTCGAGTGAACTTTTCTTTCAACTGACTGGCTGCTGATGTTGTGGAAGGTGATTATCAAGGGTCCACCAAAACACTGCGAATCATGGCCTGGTCCAGTTGAAAGGTCATCTTAGCCATCAAAGTGACCCAAAATAACCGCACTCTGTCCGGGTCTCACACCTCAGTGGCTCCAGCCTCCGTGTTTCCTTATTTCGGATTCCCTCTCTCTTACAGTTTGATTCCTTCAATATAGCATAATATGCAGAGCCTGAGTACCAGCTGTGTGACTTTGGGCAAATGACTCAACTTCTTTGTAACTCAGTTTCCTCTTCTCTAAAACTGCAGGTTTGTTGGCCTTTACACCTCAACTGTCACCATTAGTGAGCTAAGGTATTACAAGTGCGGATGTATGCTACTTGTCCTTCTGGGTCATTTTTCGTCATCCATTCAACCATGATGTGCACGGATGGACAGGACAATCCCTGGTCCTCAATGGTCATATAAAGGCAGAGATTTTGGAAGCAGACAATTGGATGCCATATTAGTAGCTCCCATTTATTTCTTTGTAACCTTGCATGAAAATTCACAGCTATCCAGTCAATTCTCACTCAGGTGACGGAGTCTGAAACGACCCGATGGCAGTGTTGGAATCCTGGATGCGAAACTTCATCTCTCTGAGCCTGTTCTTGTAAAATGAAGATGAATCTACTAAAGGTTAAATCTATCAACTAGAAATTCAAATTGTGCGGCACGCATCCGGAACTCATCCCCTGCCCCTTCTTCTTTACAGTCCTGTGATGAGACCTGAGACTGGATTCCCCCCCTGAGGTTAGGAGCCAGCATTTTCTTCTGAACTGCCAGGCAAAGTGCAAACAGGAACTGGTCTTCAGGAAGGGTGCGACCCCAGGGGGTGTGGGAGGAAGCAGAGGGACACGGAGAGAGAGCCCGAGGACTACATCTCCCGGGATGCTCAGCAAGAGGGAGCGCCCCGCCCCGTCCCGCCCAACCCGGCCCCGCGGGCACCGCCCCGCCCGCCGAGCGGAGCGCAGAGGCTACAAGTGCCGCGGCTGGTGATTGGGGGACTTTGCTGAGACACCGCGCTGGGCCAAGCGCGCGGTGCTCAAGCAGCTCCGAGTGGTCCAGGCTGGAGGTGAGTGGCGCCGAGTGGGACCGGGAGGACGAGCTGAGGCGCGCGCGAGAGACCGGGAGCCTAGCGGAGCAGGGGCGCAGTCCCCACTCCACGTCCCAACTGCCTGCCTTGCCCCCGGGGCGTCGGCGGGCGCATCCCGCCTCGGGATGCCCGCCCGGGGCGTCGCAGAGTTCACCCGGAATGGATTGATGGAGCCCACGGCGCCCGAGGTGGGCACCGCTGCCCGGAGCCTGCGGCGCGCCCTTCCCGCACGGCACGCGCAGGACGCACCGGGAGGTCGCCTCTCCCGGGCCAGTTAGTCCCATTGCAAATGCGAATGCGTTCAATTGCTAGCAAAAGGACGGGGGGAAAGTGCTGTGTTCTAGCTTTGAGGAGCAATTTTGTTAAATGGGCTCTTCAGACAAGGGGACAGAGAGGGAGGGGACGGAAGAAAGGATCCTTTAACTGGTCCCCCGGGATTACTCGTTCTCCACTGAGGATGGAAGCCCCGGATTACGGAGCTGCAAAGGAAATCGAGTGTGCAGCTAATAAGTCTTCGCCAGAACAAGCGAGAGCCCCTCTTTTCTTCAAAGAGAGAGAGGCTGGAGAAGCGGATTAAGAGGAGATCCCCCTTCTCTCTTTGTTAAGAATTGGAAATCACTTAAGGGACCCTCTGGATTTTATGCGGAGTAGTCTAATGCGGTGCGTTAATCGTGCCAAAGGTTCATCAGCGCGCCAATGCCCGAGGGGATTGCGAGACTATTTCTCATTTTCAGAAACGGATGAAACCCATTACTCCTTGTCTTCATTCATTAAGGCATCCTGCAGTAGGGGTTTAGTTTAGTCCAGCTGCTGAACAAGAGATCTGGTTCCGTTCTGGTTTCAGTATATTGGATCCTTTTGCTTTTGCTGTTTTAGTTGCAAGTAAACTCTGAACATCAGTCTGTTGTTAAAACCCAGACTCGGATGTAGAGCAGAAAGCACGCATCTCTGTCGTGGTGCGTGACTTGCCAGACTCACTCTAGGGGAGACGTGGCCTGTGCTGCTGTGTGGGTTACCAGCTGTGGATTTTGAAGCATGAGCTTCAAGCAATGGGTTAAATCCATTATCTCCATGGACTTGGAAGTAAAATAAAAGAGTCCCTTTCTGGAAATGCCTGTGCTTGGTAGGTGGAGAGTGAGTTTTTCTTCCGAGAGAAATATGACAGAGGCAGAGAGAAAAAGGACAGATGGCTTCCTGCTTAATCCAAAGTTCTGCCCTAGAAAGGTCCCTTGTTGCAGTGGGGTGAGGGAATGTCACAGCCACAAAGTTTTGGATTGGTAACCTTGGAAACAGTTGCCCATCAATTTGCCTCAACAGATCTCTACCATTGTGTGTGTGTGTGTTCATTGCTAAACTGTTCAAGTTAATTGCTAATCTGTTCAACTATACCAAAATGGGCTTGCGGATGTTCCGTTTCTTATGGACTTCACTGGGCGGAGGGTCTGGAAGTCAGACCATTGAGCTGGAGCCGCTGAGAGCTAGCCAGCCCATGCAACTGTATGAGCACGAGCAAGTAGGCTGCCCTGGTGTATTTCTCAGGGATCATAGGGAGTATGTTGCCTGCCTACCTCCAGGCTTAGAGAAGCCCTCCCAAACATACTGCCCCATGGCACAGCACAGAGAAGGGGCTGGGTGGAAACATATTAAGCAACTTTCAGACTCCAGTTTTGGACACGTGAGGCACTGTATGCCTGGGGTCATTGGCTGTCTGAGGTGTAAAGTTAGGAGAGGTGGCTGGGTAAGTTGGCCCTCTACCCCATCTTCTGAACTACCCTGTCAAAATGCTGAGCCCTGTTCCAGTTGAGCAGTGTGGGTGGGGGCAGCTCTTCAGTTTCCTGAGTGGTCTTCTGACTCGCATCTGCAGTAGCGTCTGCTCTGGACTACCTGCAGTGTCAACCCGTCACATCCAACTGCATTGTTAAGTCTACACTTCCCCAGGTTCTTCAGAAAATCAGCAGCTTTGCTAAAAAGGGTCCCTGCTTTTCTCATCTGTGTTTCTATACAGGAAACTTGCCTTCTCATTTGAGGGATCCTGTCACAGAAATGTGTGAGTCCTTGGATAAATTTGGCTTGGTGACGGCAGTGCTTTCTCCAGTGACACTGCCACTTCCTCCTCGCCACTTTCCTACCTGGACCCGAGTTCCTCAGTGTTAATCTCGGCACTAAATTAGAGGATCTCTCCTTAACCACCCAGTCTGTGCCTGCCAGTAGGTATCCTCGGTTTTTCTTTGTCCCCTTTTAGGAGAATGGGGGTGCTGCAGGGCTGCCAGCTCTGGCGGCAAAGGGAAATGGGGGCCTCAGGAGCAGCCCTCCTAGCGTTGCGGTCCTAGCTTCTCTTGAGTTCTTATCTCACTGTGTTGCTATTGGCAGAATTTCGAGAAGCTGCTGGGGATGTCTGACTAGCTCGGATGGAGCTCCACTCCCTTGCTACGACGAACAGCCAGGCCGACCTATGTGATGCTGTGGAGTGGAGTGCAGGAGGGCCTCCTGGGGACCTCCCAGATGCCGCAGCCACCAGAGCTGCCCTTTGCTGCCAGAGACACTGCACATCAACACCAAGGTCAACAGAGACAGAAGGGTCTAAACCTAGCCTTTCCCCAGCATCCCCTGCCGCCTCTCTGCAGGACAGTGCTATTCAGCCAGACTCTTTCCCACCAGGATCTGTCGATTCCGAGAACCACCAAATCACAGGAGAACAGAAAGTCTGCAACTGCTGCAGCCAGGAATCGGAAACTTCGTTTACCTACGTGGATGAGAACGTCAACCTGGAGCATTGGGACCGGAGCTCCCCTTCCACAAAAGGGAGCCATCACCCCGGAACTCTGGGCTGGGGAAATCCAAATGAGTGGGCCCAGGAGGCTGCCTTGTCTTTGATCTCCGAAGATGAAGACGATTCCAGCTCTGAAGCCACGTCTTCAGGAAAGTCAGTTGACTATGGTTTCATCAGCGCCATCTTGTTCTTGGTCACGGGGATCTTGTTGGTGATTGTCTCTTACATTGTCCCCCGCGATGTGACTGTGGATCCCAACACCGTGGCCGCCCGCGAGATGGAACGCCTGGAGAGGGAGAGCGCGAGGCTGGGGGCTCACCTAGACCGCTGCGTGATTGCGGGGCTCTGTCTGCTCACACTCGGGGGCGTCGTTCTGTCCTGTTTGCTTATGATGTCTATGTGGAAGGGCGAACTCTACCGTCGAAGCCAGTTTGCCTCTTCCAGAGATTCTGCAAAGCTGTACGGTTCCTTCAACTTCAGGATGAAAGCGGGCGGGCATGGAAACACCCTGGAACTGTCCTTGGTAGAAGAAGACGGGCTTGCTGCGGTACAGAGTTAATTCTGGTGGTGAAGTGTGAGGCTACCCTGGCCTTTTATACGAGAAAACGTACCGCAAAACACAGACACAGCTCGTAAAACTAACAGCGCCTTGTCTTTGCCTGGCAGGAGCAGTTTATTCCTCCAAACCCCTAGCCGAGGAGTGTTTTCAGTCCTGATGTATCTTTCACTTGGGGGGTGTGTGTGTGTGTGTGTCATGTAAGACACATAAGAGGCCACAACCTTTTAGTTCTTTCCTTCTAAAGAACTATGATTGCCTTCAGCCTCTGCTTCCGTGGCAAAGGATTTCTAATGACCCTGATACACAAATGATTTCCTTTATACAAATACGGGGTATTATTCCTGGACACTAGGAAGTCCTCCACACAGTAGGATCAATTGGTAATCTATTTTGTGTAAAAGAACATAAGCATTTAATCACATAATAAGGCTTACATTTTATTCTCAAAGGTGCTTATCCATTTTCTTGCTTGTTTTTTCCCCTCTTTTTTTGTAATTTGGCTAAGTATTAGAGAGTTTTATGTATGTGAAAGCTTAAACGTGTCATATATATGTCTATATATACATATATATGTGCTTTTCAAAAGAACATCACATTTGAAAGTATTCCTGTTTGTAAAAGCAATCACAAACATGATGAAAAGAAAATTATATCAATCATTATCAGACGAAATTGAATTTAACCCCAAGTGCTGGTGTTAGAGGCTAGCCCACGTTGCATGCCTGTCTGCTGAATGAAGTAAAATGCATTGCTGATCTCGTTTTCTTTTTCTACTTGCGGTTGGGTCATCATTTCTGGTTACCAACATTCCTGAAGTCTTCTCTGGTCCTGACACCAGAGGTGATACGTGAAGTACTTTTAGCATATTTACAGACAGCTGACTATCTAGGCCTCTCTGAGTCATGATTGGCTCAGGCATGCTCCCAGATGACATTTGTCATTATTTGGGGCAAGGTGGGAGCGGGGGGGAACCCAAACAACTCTCCAATGTAGTTCCAGCCAGACTCTTGGGAATTGTGCCTAGTACACTATATCACGTGCTCTATGGGCCAAGCAGTAAGCCATTGCTTGAGATGGTAGCAGTACTTAAGCACAGTTAAATAAATAAAATAGGGTGGGAATGAGAAAGAGAGTAAAAGATGAAACACCCTGATTCCATGGAACTGCACTCTTCAGTCAAAGCCAGCCTCCTCCACAGTAGTCAAGTTCATGTCTGAGCACCTGACTGTGGCTGTCAGCAACTGGAAGTCCCTGCCCCATGATGTTCAACTCTTGCCCTATGAGAGGCATGATGGACAAAGTGGTCACATCTTTACACAGCACACACTGTGATAGGGTAAGGGTTCAGGACAACCCTTGAGAAATATAGCCTCAGAAGTATCTTGTATTTTACAACTACACCTTGAGGTATTTCCAACTTCTCTTGCCCTGATTGATTTACTTGCCAGTATCAGGGCCAGTGGGGCCGTTTCCAATCAAGACTGGAGCTAGGAATTGAAACGGCAGAGTGGGAATGGGCATGGCAGTAATATGAGGAAGTGATTTCTCTGAATTCTAAAGCCTCATTCTAATGCCTGCAGTAGATGTGAGGGAGGGCTGTGAAGTATATGGGTAACTTCGACTGTGTGTGTGTGTGTGTGTGTTTTAGAAGTAGGGGTAATTTTGTGAATGAGCTCTTGCAGATGCCAGAGAGAGATGGAGTTGATGAATTAAGTATGCTGTGTGTTCCTCACTACCAATGAGTTCATTCTGACTCCAGGCGACTGTCCAGGACCTTGCAGTATTTGATTCTGTTCTGCGCAGGGTTACTGTGGGACATGACTGACTTGATAGACCCTTACAGTAAGTGACCACATAGGACAAAATAGAGCTGCTCTGGCGCATTGCTGAGACTGTAACTCTTCCTGAGAGCAGATGGGGATTTAATCTGCTGACCATGTGCCCACCACTCTGCTACCAGGCCTTCTGGTATTACTGAATGTAATGGTGAGGGGGAAGGATGAAAAGACAGAGTTAAAAAAAAGGGGGGGGGGGACAAGTATTTGAATGATTACATAAAAATTAGAAATTATATGAATTTCAGAAGAAGTGCAAGATACTTATAATTACCCTACAACAATCTGACTCTTAAAGATTCAGAAATAAATGGGGTCATAGCCACATGATTTTAGTTTTCTGTTGCTGATGGTAAGGCACCAGGCTGGTGCAGTGGGTCTATGTTAGGTTGGGTTGCTAACCGAGAGGTCAGCTGCTCCCAGGTAAAAGCAGGGCAATCTGTTTCCATGAAGATTTATGACCTCAGAAACCGTGGGGAGCAGCTCTACCCTCCAGGGTCACTGGGTCAGAATTGACACACGGCACCAGTAGGTTGGATTTTAACTGTTGACTGTGCTTTGTGCACAAATGTTGTTTTACTGTCTCTCTCCTATCTGGTTTGTGTTGAAGCCCACTGACCAGCAGTAGGTGTTTTATGAAGGCTTATGAATTGTCAGGCTTTTGCCTGCTCAAGGCCCCACTTTGGATGATGTTGAGGGAGAGAGAGGAATGTCTGCAGCTTGGCTGAGGAAGTAAATCGGAGGTGGCAGGGGTGAGGGTGTGTGTGTGTGTGTGTGTGTGTGTGTGTGTGCATGCGCTTTAAGCATTACTTGTTCATAGAAGCAAAATGTAGATAACTGAAGTCTTTTTTCTTAATTGGTGAAACGGGATTAACTCAATGACTAATAGGAGCCCTATTTCCAGTTTATGAAGGTAGAACAACCTGAGAATCAAGGATTACCTTTGTTTTTTTTTCATGTCTGTGAAACTGATGATAAAGGAGAAAATGCCAAGGCCTTTCATTTGAAGGCATTTAATGAGTCTTGCATTGCAACCAAATTATATATAGATCTGATGTGATCTACTGGCACCATGAAAAAAAAAATCCTTATTTGGAAAAGAAAATATCTAAGGGTGGAAAAAAGAAAGAGCTAACAATTCAGAACATATTTCCTCCTCTGTAAATGTGTTCTTCACATTTCTAATGGGAATTTCTTTGGTAAATGCTTGTTTCGACAATTTTGAAATCTCCTTTCTTGGAAGGTCTTATTTCTATGACAGCAAACCCTTCATACCAAAAGGAAACCATTCAGAGAATCCTCGGGCTGCTCCCCTCTGTACTGTGTTGATACAACCCAGATAATTACCTTAATTAACTTTTCCCCAGGAATTCAGTTAGCAAGAATAGCCCTAATCTGTCTCCTGCCAGGGCCTAAATCCAGGATTGGTTTCTTGCATTTAAACTGATGGTAAGGAAGCACAAAAAAACCATGCGCTCTCTGCCCTGTTGATTCCAGCAATTTTTTTTTTTTTTTTGGTAGGGGGAGCTGTAAATATTTATTTAGAAGTACTTTGGCCAGACCAGGTGATAAATGTTAGAGACAATAGCTCCAGTGTTGGCCTGGGGTCCTTCATGGCGATTTATTACCTTAACATTTATCTCTTCAGTGTGACGCTGGTTCTTACCTGTGAAGTTTTTATTGCTGTACTTGGAGAAGCAAAACTATAACTTCCCCCAGCCCCAGAAGTCTGTCGTTTAAGTAGCTTATTTATCAAACTGTAGAAATCTAAACTCAGGGGTCATCCTCCTAATGTTAACAAAAGATCAAACAAGCACCATCATCGATACTGACTCATAGCAACCTTATAAGACAGGGTAGAACTGCTGTGAATTTCTGAGGCTGGGAGTAGAAAGGCCCGATTTTCTCCCCCTAAAGTTAAAATGAAAGCAGTTTACCCTCTAACAGTGCTACCCAACGGTGCAAGTACCAGAGAGCTGGCTTTTCTCCATGACTTCTAGGATCTAAACAACAAAAACTCAGCCTTGACTCAGGGACCCTGTAGGGCCGAGGAGCACTGCCCCGTAGGGTTTCCCAGGCTGTCATTACAGGAGCCGAGATAGACATCTTCCTTCTGTAGAGCAGCTGCGGGTTCCGACCAAGTACTTAACCACTGTGGCACCGGAGACCCTTCACTGGGATCTGCAGTCTGCACGGTAGCCTTAGTGGCTCAGTAGATTTGAGCCCACTAGCTACTGCCAGGGAGAAGGATGAACTAGTTGGCTTCTAGTAAGTTTTACAGCCTTGGAAACCTACGAGGTGTTTTACTCCATCCTCTCAGTCACCGTGAGTCAGAATTGGCTTGAAGGCCATGTATTTAGTCTTCTAGTGAGAATTTAAACCTCCCAATGTCTTTTAGAAGGAGCCCTGATAGTGCTGTGGATTAGGTATTGGGCTGCTAACTTTATGGTTGGTGGTTCAAAACCACCAGTCACTCTGAGGGAGTAAGATGAGGTGGTCTGCTTCTCATAAAAATGTATAGTCTCAGAAATCCAGTAGCGGGCCACTGAAAGTTGGACTTGACTTGATGGCAGTGGGTAGGCCTTATATAGAGGAGTTCTGTTTCTTGCAGTGTAGTGGTTCTGCATTGAGCTGTTAACTGCAAGGTCAGTAGTTCAAAACCACCAGCTGTTCCCCTGGAGAAAGACAAGGCTTTTTATTCTCTTAAAGAATTATACCTTGGAAATCCATAAGTACAGTTCCATCCTGTCCTATAGGGTCACTATGAGTTGGAATTGACTCGATGTCGGTGAGTTTTTGAGTTTTGGCGGTACGGTGCTTAAACACACAGCCCAAATATCTGTAGTTTGAGCTCACCGATAGCTCTGCAGGAGAAAGATGTGGCAATCTGCTTCTGTGAAGGTTTATAACTTTAGATCATCTGGGGCAGTTTTAATATCTTTAATAAACTGTTTTTTTTTGGGGGACCTTAAACTACTTCTGGGATCCTTGGGTGTACAAACAGTTAATGCTTTCAGCTGTTAACCAAAGTCCACCTAAAGGTGCCCTTGAAGAAAGGTTTAGGATCTACTTGCTCTAAATCAGCCACTGAAACCCCATGGAGCTTAGTTCTGTGTTGACACACAGAGACAGGTTTGAAACGGTTTCTGGTAGAAGTGGAGCTCTTGTGTGCTTATGTTGGGTCCTCTCCCACTATTTGGAGCTGCTGAAACTGACCAGGCAGCGTGTATGAGAGAGGGGGCTGTGGGGGCTGTGGAGATGAGTTATATGGATAGCAACCTTCTGTGATAGAGAATGCTTTCTCCGGCTGTACTCTTCTTGGGAGCAGAC